TCAAAAAATGTGTTTTTAGAGCCAGTTAATTCGACATAAACGCTATTGCTTTCAGTTTATTTTCTAAGACAATATGCAAGTTGTTGACATCGATATAATTGACAAGAGTGATGAACTAGAATAAGTAATTTGTCTGTTGTAGTGTAGAGCTGAGATTATTGTAATGTGTTGTAGAAATCTCAGAGTAGAACAAATGGATATACGTACATGTTTACAGATGATGAAGTACATCTTGGAGATATGAAATTTTTACGAAATCAAAATTAACGATCATCATATTTGTTATCAACGCCTCCGAACATTAACCTTCTTGTGTTTCATTCCCACGCAGACACACATAATAAGCTTTGAAGTTCTGGCATTACTTATGATTTTATATGCATTCCAAGAATCGAATAGGGACAATTATGCCTAGTTTGGTCTCAGATTTTCAGTATTTTTTTTTATCAAGTTCGTCATATTTAGATTAATAAATATTAGTTTAAACGATTTAAACAAAACAGAGGCTATAATTCGTTAATCTTCATGAATTCAATTAGCGAAAATGGTTACAATAATGGATTATCTTGAATTAATGCCACAAGGCAATATTCATTCCACAAATGAAATTTAAATAGGCTATGTTCCATGAAAATGTCCATTCTAGGCAAGTTGAGATGAAGAACTGTCGGAAAATTGCTTTTCCAAACGATTTAAGTAAAAACTAAAATATGCATGAACTTTGACGTGAATATGTATAGTGAAATTTCAATTACCTTTTTTTTTGTTATAGGGGTATGCCAATTTCCCTCGACTTTACTTCAAATAAGAGACGTTCTTCAATTTTTTCTAAAAATCACATTATCACACATGCAAATGTATACTTAAATAAAAATAATAATATTATGATTATGCTTTTGTACAAGTGATAAAATTAATAATGCCTAAAGAATGCAATTTTAACAGATTTTGTCAAATTTTGAATATTCAGCCAAAATATACTAGAACTCTTAAACAAAAGCATGTGGGAAGTAGAGCTATGCATTGTCCTCCGTATACAATATAATTAATTTTCCTTTGATGCAAAATTTTACTAAAACATTGTCTTCGACAGCAAAATGCAGCAAAAATAAACATTTATTATTTCTTACTGAAATATTGTGGATAATTTGTGGGGAAACATTATGTAGATTATTTGATAGTCGAATGCTACATTTGTAGTTGGTTTTTACAACTTTTAGATTTTGACTATGTGAATGAAATTGGCCCCTTCCTTTTTGATCTCTTTAGACAAAATACCGGTATAAGAAATAAGTTGCCCTGATTATATACAAGTTATAAATTTTGAAAGCTGAAACTAAGGTTCTGACTCAATAATCCGAAACTCGTTTTTAGCAGTTTTTGCATTTTCTAGTCCCTTGTGTTTTATTTAATTTTGTTTACTGAAATTTATCAACGGATTTTGTTTACTTGCCATGGACAACATTACACAATAGGTGCCACCCGTGGAATATAAACTGCTTCACCTTTCGGAGCACCTGTAACTCTTTTCACAAAAAGTTTTACGATTAAAATTGATCGTAAGTTATACCGAATTGTTCATGACTTACGAGTGTTTTTAATCGTAAGTTTTTTTTAATGTAAAGAGTCGCTGGGTTCATTCTTTTTTGCGGTGATTGTTCTACTTAATTTTTAGTTTTTAGTCTAGAGCGCTTTAGTCTAGAGCGCTTTGTAGACTTCATGTAAGTGTTGTATTCTGGGTTAATTTTTGCTATGGTTTTATCTATCACCTGCTTAGTTTGGTTAATTTATGCTATGGTTTTATCTGTCACCTGCTTAGTTTGGTTAATTTTTGCTATGGTTTTATCTGTCACCTGCTTAGTTTGGTTAATTTTTGCTATGGTTTTATCTGTCACCTGCTTAGTTTGAGTCACACTCTTCGTATCATAGGTATCATCCACGTTTTTAAAATGTGTAATTTCGATAGTGTTTACAAAATTATCAATTACAAAATATTTCTTTATAATTGCCGTAATATACACTTCTTTTTGAAATGAAGCTTTAGGCAAACACCAAAAATCCAAGATGTTTCATTTCTTTTCAAAAAGGAGTACATCGTACCAAATTTTGTTGCTTTGACATTATTTCAGACAACCTCTTGTTAAGGTACAAAAATAAGATGGAAAATTTATAATTGAAAAAAAAAAATATCATGGATAATTTTTAAAGATTCAGTCACGAGCATCATACCAATTATACTTTTCCCGTTGACAAAATTTCTACATAATAATATTGAAATCATGACCTATAAGTAAATTATAAATATTATCTGAAAGTAATTTTCGCAAGTGATTGGCCCTTCTCTGTGAACATCCTGAGTAGTAAAAATACAAACTGTATAGAATATACACAATACAATAAATCAGTTAAATCAGATCTACTAGTTGGTCGTGCGGTTATCTTTGTCGTTTGGTTTCTTTTTTCTATCGTAATTGTCTTTCATTTCAACAAAAGTACTCAGACATTCTTCTCAATATATCACAATTTAAAGTAGGTTAAGTCTTCTTGCTATCATATTTATATTTAAAACACCCCCCTTTAACCCCTATTTCGAAATGAATTTTCAATCCCGGATTGCAGGTTGTGATGGAAAAAGCCAAGCTATATGGATCAAAGTCTGCCTAGAAGAATAATGCAGAAAATCGATAATTTTCTTAGGCTTATTTTCTATCACTGGATGAGTACTGTTAGACCGAATGTTACTTTTAATCTTCAAGTACAATCCAGCGTAGTTGGTTACTTATTTCTTATTCCTTATTCGTTACTTATTTCTTATTCGTTACTTATTCCTTATTCGTTCCTTAATCGCTTTTAGTATGTTGCCCCTTTTAATGCTTTTTTTTTTGTCTTTTATTTACTTCACCATGGTGTAAGTTACGGGTTCGAGGAGGTAAAATTTCCCTGTTAGTGCGAATGTTTCGGCGCTCGACTGATACTCTGTTACTTATTCCCTACTTATTCGTTCCTTATTAATTTTTTATACGTGGTCCATTTTTAATTATTTTGCTTTTTTCCAATTCATGTCTCTGGAGTAGTCCTGAGTTCATGGAGTTGGTCCACTTAAAAAAGGTAAAAATATAGTATGTCTGAAGCTGTCAAATTGAAATATAGACCCCCCTTAACATAGAATTGTCCATATTTTGAGTTAGAGCTGGTAGACTTTTCTATAATTTTGATATCATTTGTCCAAAATTAGTACATTAAATTGTAAAAATCTGTTTTGAGATAGAGCAGGTGCGATTTTTTTTAATTTTAATTTATTATCTAAAAGAAATGCACTACGAAATAACTGTGTTTTCTGGCCAACCCAGTTATCGCATAGGTACCATAAAAAGGGGGAAACGTTTAAAAAACGAACAAGTTACAAGGCATCTGTCGAGTGCAGAGACAGATTCATATGCGCCAGTGGGTACTTTCAACTTCACAAGCCCAGGACTAACACCATAGACATTAAATAAAAACAAAACAAAATCATTCAATATTTGCAACGTATAAAAAGCGAATAAGGAACCATAGGTAGCGAATAAGTAACAGGGTATCAGTCGAGCGCGGAGACTGGGATATACGCGCTTACAAATTAATTTCACCCTCGCGAACCAATAACTAACACCAGAGACAAGAAAATAAAAGAAAAAAAAATCACTAAAAAGGACAATGTATCAAAAGCGAACAAGGAACCAATAAGTAGCGAATAAGTAACAGGGTATCAGTCGAGTGCAGGAACTGGTACATATGCGCTAACAGGGTAATTTCACCTCCACAAACTCCATAATACTAACACCATGGTGAAGAAAAGAAAAGAAAGCATTATAAGGGAACAACATATTAAAAACGAATAAGGAATAAGGAATAAGTAGCGAATACATAACGAATAAGGAATAAGTAATGATGTAGTAACGATTAAGGAATGAGGAATAAGTAACAAATTTGACGACCCTAATGACGTTGACGTAGCCAATATTTCAGCATCGACCATAATCTACACTGAATTGCGTTTACTTTGAACTAATAATTTTAAAACTGTTAAAAAGCTTTTGGTCAATATTTGGCCATATTATATGCATCTGTAGTTACCATTATCTTTTGGATATGAGAACCCTGGTGACGACACGTGAATATTATAAATGCATGGAAAAGAACGAAAGCAGTAAAAAAGCTACCAAACAGAAAAAAAACATTAAGATATGACAAAAGACACTGACTGATAGTTAACAGTAATACTGGTATGATAGAGCTTCCATAGATAGTAAGTTATAACAGTAATACTGGTAAGATAGAGCTTCCATAGATAGTAAGTTATAGCAGTAATACTGGTATGATAGAGCTTCCATAGATAGTTAGTTATAACAGTAATACTGGTCCATAGATAGTTAGTTATAACAGTAATACTGGTCCATAGATAGTTAGTTATAACAGTAATACTGGTATGATAGAGTTTCCATAGATAGTTAGTTATAACAGTAATATTAGTATGATAAAGCTTCCATAGAAAGTTAGTTATAACAGTAGTACTGGAATTAGAATAGTAAAGCTTCCATTGACCAAATGATCCCCCCTCCCCAAAAAAAAAAAAAAAAAAACCTAAAAAAAAAACAAAGGCTTTGATTAGATTCAATACTGTGTTGTTTTTCTGCAGAGATGAAAAATTGTGCAACTACCAACAGATAATAAATCATTAGCTCTCCATTTGTTTGTGTGTTTATCGGAAGCTCATTAAATAAAAATTATTTTATATGAAATCTGATTACAAATATCGAAAGTTCTGCATAAATGTTAATTTTGTGAACTATATCAGTTTAATAAAATATAAAACATGTACACCATCACAAAACTTGACTACATATACATCTAAAAATAATATATGCACCAAATTAAGATAAAGTCATGCATCTTAAATACTGTTTCAATTATCTTAACCATAAATCCTAAATAAACAAAATTGATATTAAATATTAGATTACCTCTGATAACTGTTCCTTCTTGAACGTTCATCCTTGCAAGGTTGAATTAATTTCCTCTTGTATTTAACCCTATAATCAATCCTATGCTTATGTTAATTAGAAGAACAATATAATTCTGTTAATCTCGTCTGTCAATGCTTTCTAAAACATAGTATTGATTGGGATAAACACTCCTAGCTCAAACTAGCCATCTTCAATAATTATTTAACAGATTTTCTCTTGGATTTTTTATTCTTTCACTGCTTGGCATATAACTATAGATAGTTGTCTGGTTGTACTGGCTTTTTCTTATTGATTTTCCTGCAGTAAAAACTCCACTTACATTTCATTCTAATCCAAACAGATTCCCCTGACGTTACATCCTAGAAGTGCGATATAAGTTTTAGATATCATTGAGGATTTTATTAAATGGATTTTTGGAATCTGACTTGTTGATTCAGACATTATATCACAATTGCATTTATTTGTACACCCACGGAGATCAATAAAATTACTGCAAACCTTTACAGAAAAGCAAATCATCATTATCTTTGCAACAAATCTTCTTTTCATACACTGTCTTCAAGGCTTATTGCTTGTTGACTCTCCGTATTCATACACTGTCTTCAAGGCTTATTTCTTGTTGACTCTCTGTATTCATACACTGTCTTCAAGGCTTATTGCTTGTTGACTCCCCCGTTTTCATACATTGTCTTCAAGGATTATTGCTTGTTGACTCTCCGTATTCATACACTGTCTTCAAGGCTTATTGCCTGTTGACTCCCCGTATTCATACACTGTCTTCAAGGCTTATTTCTTGTTGACTCTCTGTATTCATACACTGTCTTCAAGGCTTATTGCTTGTTGACTCCCCCGTTTTCATACATTGTCTTCAAGGATTATTGCTTGTTGACTCTCCGTATTCATACACTGTACTCAAGGTTTATTGCTTGTTGACTCTCCGTATTTATACATTGTCTTCAAGGCTTATTGCTTGTTTACTCTCCGTATTTATACATTGTCTTCAAGGATAATTGCTTGTTGACTCTCCGTATTCATACACTGTACTCAAGGCTTATTGCTTGTTGACTCCCCGTATTCATACATTGTCTTCAAGGTTTATTGCTTGTTGACTCCCCGTATTCATACACTGTCTTCAAGGATTATTGCTTGTTGACTCCCCGTAATCATACACTGTCTTTAAGGTTTATTGCTTGTTGACTCCCCGTATTCATACATTGTCTTCAAGGATTATTGCTTTTTGACTCTCTGTATTCATACACTGTCTTTCATATTTATTGTTAACAACTTCTAATATTTACAAATTGTCTACTCTACGAAAGATCATTCACGATTCGAGATTCGATATATCAAGTTTCACTGGGAGATTATCAATTTCACCGATTGAAACTTGAATTTCGAATCTCGGATGATCTTTTAAGATCCTTTTGTGCACTTGAAAGAGCAGCTATAAAACCAAGCGTTTTAGTTTAACTTAATTGTATTAAGTTCGCATACTAATTTTTCAAATACATCAGATTTAACCATTGATGAATTTATAAATATCTTAATATTTCAAAACACAATTTATTCTAACGAGTATCACTGTCGAGAGAAGAACTTTAGAAGGACGACTGAAACGTGACGTCACTATGACACGCTACATACAGGTAAGATAACACGATACGAGACAATAGGTATGATTCGAAGTGTTTTGCAGTATATAAACCTTAATATTTAACCTTAACGACTCGAATTATAACTCTGCCCAATATAGTTGCCGCAATACGTTTTTTTGCAGAAAATAATACCCGAGGACTTCAAAGTAAAACTACACCTGTCATTTTATATACCTACATTGTTTGCACCTGTCCTAAGTCAGGAATCTGATGTTCAGTGGTTGTCGTTTGTTTATGTGGTTCATAAGTGTTACTCGTTTCTCGTTTTTTATATAGATTAGACCGTTGGTTTTCCCGTTTGAATGGTTTTCAACTAGTAATTTTTGGGGCCCTTTATAGCTTGCTGTTCGGTGTGAGCCAAGGCTCCGTGTTGAAGACCGTACTTTGACCTATAATGGTTTACTTTTATAAATTTTGACTTGGATGGAGAGTTGTCTCATTGGCACTCATACCACATCTTCTTATATCCATTAAACATATTGCATCCAAAATGATCAACTACAAGAGAGTATTAGACACCTTTACCTGCAGGTATGTAAAATCGAAACTTCTCGATTAGTCTAGTGTATCGTCCCCATACAAATAATGTCCCACTGGTCATATTATGACTTTAGACCTTTGCATCATTTAAAATAAACGACTAAGAGAGTTGCTAGCCAAAGAGGCTTGACATCGAATTCCCAAACCCATCAACTGGATCGACAACTTCAGGTTACTGGTGGATGCAGTTGAGGAATAAGCCAGAAAATGAATAAAGCACAAGCCAAATGAACTAAAACTGAAAACTTTATCTGCATTGATCAAAGCTGTTTGGTCATGCATTCATTAGCACATTTAATGTCTACGATGAACAATATGCACACGGGTTTCTGACCCTTTCAAGAATACCGAGGTTGTGGACGCTTTATCTTCTCTTTACGATAAGTGTGTTGTTGTTCCAGCATACAAAACCTCAAACAATATCATTTTTATATGCAATCATCATTATTTGGAATGTCTCACTAAAGAACACTGTAAAACTGGGAATCCCACACCATCATAATTCACGAAAGAAGAGAGTTTAGAAAATCATAAATCCGCCCTGCCCTCCAAAGTGTTAACATAATAAAGGACGATGAAAATCTCCTATCTTTATATGCGATACCTTAACTTCACAGAATCATTATAAAGAACGATATATAGCCGGGTCGTAAAGATAATCAACTAACTATCTTTCTAATGTTCTCACCACCATTCTCTCTGCAATGAAAGAAGGCTTCAGAACTATTGTGAAGAGATTCAAAATTCTAAAGATCTACTCCAAAATATTCAATCACAATCTTTACAATATTGTAGTAATATCAAAACCTTAAATTTTCAACGCTCTACATATTATTCCCCGTGCTCAGTTGAAAGATCGATTACATTGTCTCATTAAACAAAGCCTTTTCTATAAAACTTGCAAACGCAGATAAAAAAAAATCTCGTTTTCGGTCATGAAAAATCTTACTTTGTGAAGAACCACAATAATTCAAACAATTAATACACCGAAGATGATATCATCAAAATGATGAACGTTTTGATCAACAACATATTTGTGAGTTTGGTGGACTGATATTGCAGCAGACAGTCAGTATTCCAATTGGAACTTATTGTGCACCACTGCTGGCCGATTTGTACACATATGAAGCAGAATTCATACATAACCTTCTCAAATGCAAAATGAAAAAGCATCTCGCAATGATCTTCAATTTCACTTTCATATATTTTGATGATATCCTGTCACTCAATAACCCACTTTTCAATAAGTGCTTAAATCTCATATATCCCAGGGAATTTGAGCTTAATGATATTATCGATAGTAGAAGGTATGCTTCATATCCTGATTTTTTCCTCGATTTTGACACAGGTGGACAACTTCAAAGAAAAAATATATGACTAACGTGATGATTTCAATTCTTCAATTGTCACCTTTCAATTTCTCATCATATTATTCCGAATCTCTTACATAGTGATCCTATCAGATTGTCTGTAATGTAATGCCGATACCATTATATAGTGCTTCTATTAGATTGTCTGTGATGTGATGCTGATACCATCATATAATGCTCCTATCAAATTGTCTGTGATGTGATGCTGATACCATCATATAATGCTCCTATCAGATTGTCTGTGATGCCGATACCATTATATAGTGCTCCTATCAGATTGTCTGTGATGTGATGTCGATACCATTATATAGTGCTCCTATCAGATTGTCTGTGATGTGATGCTGAAACCATCATATAATGCTCCTATCAGATTGTCTGTGATGCCGATACCAATATATAGTGCTTCTATTAAATTGTCTGTGATGTCATGCCAGTACCATTATATAGTGCTCCTATCAAATTGTCTGTGATGTGATGCTGATACCATCATATTTTGCTCCTATCAGTTTGTCTGTGGTGTGATGTCGATACCATTATATAGTGCTCCTATCAGATTGTTTGCGATGCCGATACCATTATATAGTGCTCCTATCATATTGTCTGTGATGCCGATACCATTATATAGTGCTCCTATCAGATTGTCTGTGATGCCGATACAATTATATAGTGCTCCTATCAGATTGTCTGTGATGCCGATACCATTATATAGTGTTCCTATCATATTGTCTGTGATGTGATGTCGATACCATTATATAGTGCTCCTATCAGATTGTCTGTGATGCCGATACCATTATATAGTGCTCCTGTCAGATTGTCTGTGATGCCGATACAATTATTTAGTGCTCCTATCAGATTGTCTGTGATGTGATGCTGATACAATTATACAGGGCTCATTTCAGATTGTCTGTGATGTGATGCCGATACAATTATATAGTGCTCCTTTCAGATTTTCTGTGATGTGATGCCGATACAATTATATTGTGCTCCTATCGGATTGTCTGTGATGCCGATACAATTATATAGTGCTCCTATCAGATTTTCTGTGATGCCAATACCATTGTATAGAGCTCCTATTAGAGTGTCTGTGATGCCGATACCATTATATACTGTTCTTATCAAATTGTCTGTGATGCCGATACCATTACGTCGTGTTTCCATGAAATTGCCTGTGATGTTGATACCATAATATTATAGTGTTCTTATCAAATTGTCTTTGATGGCGATACTATTATAAAGTTCTATCTAATTGTCTGTTATGACGATACCATTATATAGTGTTCCTATCAACTTTTTTTGTAACCCCGATACCGTTATATAGTGCTCCTATCATTGTCTATGATTCCGATATCATTACAAGTGCTCTTATCAAATTTTCTATGATGCCGATACCATTATTTAGTGTTCCTATCAGATTGTTTGTGATAACGATATCGTTATATAGTGCACCAAGCAGATTGTTTGGGATGCCGATATCATTACCTTGTGTTCCCAAGATATTGTTTGTGATGCCGAAATCATTATATAATGTTCATATCAAGTTGGTTGTGATACCGATAACGTTAAATAGTGATCCTATCAAGTGTGTTGGGATGCCGATTCTATTATATAGTGATTTTATTAGATAGTGTGTGATGCCAACACCATGTTATAGTGCTTCTTTCAGATTGTCTGTGATGCCGATACAATTATAAAGTATTCCCATCAGATTGTCTGTGATGCCGATACAATTATAAAGTATTCCCATCAGATTGTTTGTGATGCCGATACAATTATAAAGTAT